CAGAAGAGGGAAAATAGAAGGAAAAAAAATTGAAATTGAAAAAAAATGCAATCTGAGTTTTATTGGAAATATTATTACTATCAATCCAACTCTTAAGTTTCATTGACACTTGCTGTCATTTGAACATGTTTTTCTTCATAGAAAACACAACTCTAGAAAAGCTAAACAAAGTCATTTAACCACATGGAAATAATACCCTTTCTGTAGATTTGCCCTTTGTCAAAAGGAATCAATCAAAAGATGCTAAAATATAGTCAACTCATCTCAGTGACTTTTGAACTCATTTCCTTGATGCCCTCGTATAGTCCACTGTCCACACATCTAAAATGATCCACTTAAATGTTTAAGTCACAACATCTCTTTATTTTGCTCAAAACTTTTTCTTCTCAATTTTACAAATAAATGCAAAATGTTAACCATAGCTTACATGAACTTAACCATGTTCCTACACGAACTGGCCTCTATTGTAGAAAAGCCAAGCACTCCTCCTGGTTCAGATGTACTCTTTGCTGTGTAGTCTTTGAAAAAGCTTTGTGTACAGCTTTCTCCCTCACATCCTTCAGGCCTCTACTTTAAAAAAGTTATCTCCTTTAAGAGTCTTCTCTCAAAACCTTATAGCACACATTGTATTTTCAGCACCTTATTACTTTTCTTTCTGTCACTACTGAAAATTATATTATCTACTTATTTTGTCTGTCCTTTGTTTCCCTCACCAGAGTATCAGCTTCATGAGTCCAAAGGCCTTATCAGTTTGGGTCACTGTTATATTATCAACACCAGATGCTACTTTTGCCAAAATGTGCTGCACGCTTAAATGTGAATAAATCTAACTAGAAATCACCCCAGTATTTATTTCTAAGATGCATTTAGATGAATCAAGATATATTTTGCAGATAGGAGTTGGTAACTAACTAGTTGTTGGTGTGGGGGGTGATATTCCCTGGTTCTGGATGAAGCACAAAGGTGAATGGAGGTGTCATTTACTGAGACAAGGAAGATTAAAGAAGTATATTTGTAGGAACGACTTAGTTCAGTTTTAGGCATCTAAAGTTTGTGATGTCTATGGACATCCAGGTGAAGATATGTAGAGAGTGGTGGCTTGGATCATGACCTCTGATTGCCTCCTGGCTGCACTGGGTACTTCCTGTGTAAAGGTACAGGTCAAGATTGCCCAGCTGCTGTGGTAACACCTGGCCTGAGGAAACTGCAAAGGTTTGGAGTTATATCAGTCTGGACTTGGAGCTCAAGTACCAGCTGTCAGGGATAGAGAATTCTGAGCATAACAAGATACTCTAATGTCTCACCAGTTGTGCGTCCTTCAGATTGCCTGCTAAGCAAAAACTTCCCACAAATAACCTTTTTGATAATAAAACCTATATAATAAACACACTGAGCTAGCTCTGGCCATTATTCCTCCATCAGAGGGCAGTGTCCCACCTGGACCTAGCTTTCTCTATGTGTTTGTCTTTTCTTAATCCCCCATCGCCCCTTGCTGGTTTCTGAATTAAAGCCTTGCAGGACATGGCAGAGATGTTAAGTAGATAGATGGATATATGTAGGCCTGGAGTGAGATGACTAAATTCCTTATCATGTGAATCCTTTTAAAGTACTTATTCTTTAATTGCTTCTAAAGGCACCCTTTTCATGGTCCTCTGGTTAAGCAGCACTCAAAATGTACCCTATCTAGACTTCATTGCTGAAACAAAACCTGTTAGTTCATATTTAATGAACTTCTACTATCTAAATGAAGTGATAACTACTTAACAGCTAAGAACAATGATACAGAATATTTATTACATGGGCACTTAATCACTTAAAACTACAAGTTAACTCTGCCACAAAATTCTTAAATCCTATAGAGGTGAGTAAATAGGTCAATACAGGTTACAGACTATTTAACTTGGTTACAGAAAAAACTCAAGTATGTGTACCTTTCTGTTGTTTCTTCCACAGTTCATTCTCAGGTGCCAACTGGAATACATGTTTTCAAAAATGTGAACAGTCAAAATAAATAAATAAATAAGGAAATGAATAAGTAGGACTAGTGTTTTCAGATTTTATGGTTACTCTGAACCTTGTAGATCATTCAATAAAGACCCTTGGTCTATTTCATGTGTTTGGGGGGGGGGGAATCTGAACAGTGTATCTTCTGCCAAATCTGTAGAAAGCGTCTAGCAGATAAAAACCTTGACTCCTTGACTTAGATGTATGCATCTTATCCTAGTAAAAGTGATTCCAGTTTAAGTCTCAAATGAACTTTGATGATAAAACCTATGTAATAAACACGCTGAGCTAGTTCTGGCCATTATTCCTCCATCAGAGGTCAGTGTCCCACCTGGACCTAGCTTTCTCTGTGTGATTGTCTTTTTTATGAGTTCTCTAGTATTTTTTTTGCAGTTACTGCTTTATCAGGGTAAATTCAGAAGCTTCTAGCATTTCGGCGTGTTACCTTAAACATACTATGAATCTCTTAAAGCAATGGAATTTCTGATGTCCTGGACCTTCAGAGAGGATAGTTTTCTTCCCAGTGATTTGAGAGTGTCCAATAAAGCATTTCTTGCTAGAAATTAAACATTACGTTCTTACTTACGAATGTATAATAAAGTTTTTTCCTCTTAAGACTGTTCAAACATCAAGAGATTTAGAGTTGTATTTATGCCAAAGATGAAGTGAGATAGTTAGGAGGTGCATTTTAAGTCCCTGGAAACATATCTAGTTTGTCTGAAAGGCCCTAAATCTAGCCAGTTGGACATACCTAGTATTTTATCATTCAATAATTCAACTTGCAATTGTACATGTCTTGTTTCTCTGTGTGTGGATGTGTGTGTGAGAGTACCTGGGAGTGCACGTGTTTGAGAATTAGAATGATACACAGAAAACATTATTTTTTCATGAACTCATGGTCTAGTTGATTACACGAAGAATAACAGATGTAAGGATACGAGGCTATGACAAAAGAGAATGAATTCTGCCTAAAAAGGTCTGTGAAGACTTCACAGAAAGACGAATATTTGATTAGAGTTTTGAAGGATGGATAGGCATTTACTAAGCAGGTGAGGAATATTAAACAGGGTTGGAGTTAAGTGAGTTCTAAGAGAATGGTGGATGTAGGAGCACAGGGTGTAGAAATTTAGGCCACAATATAAAGGGTGTTGAGTGATTTGGTATCATTTGCTATCACATAGCATACAGCAATGTGTTTAAAATCATTCCTATGTTGACTGGAATTTTTTTATAAATTCCAAGTATCCCAGAAGTTACAGGGCTGCATGTGAATTACCAACAGACCTTTTGGAAAAGTTGCTAATACTATAAAGTGGGCAAATCTAAGGATATTATAAGAGTAAATGAAACCATGAAGTCATTTGGTCTCTTTTTGCAGTGCTGGGGATTAAATTCAGGGCCTAGGCACATTAGGGAAGCATTCTACCATTGAGCCACAGTCCCAACATAGTTATCCTCTCTTGAAACCAGAAAAGGTTCAAGAGACTTCCCTTTGATTCATCTTATTAGTGGTCTCCAACCTGCTCAAAACTTTGAATTGAGCACAATGGAAACTTTATCACTGGCTAATATCCTGGCAAGTGAAGACAAACGTGGAGTCACTGTAGACAAACCTTCTTAACATTGCCTTCCTGTGATTGCTTAATATAGGACTTCAGGAAATGTACATTTTAAAGACATTTTCAAAATTTGACCTGCATTCTTGAGTTTTAATTTGTCTACGATGCAAAAGTTTATTTTTATCTTCCTTTGGGATTTTTGGATAGCGTCCAGTTATTATAAATTAAGTACATAGTAGAAAACGAGTATTTAATATCTTTTTTTTTCTAAAGATAGTTGCAGGAAGCTGCAAATCTCAAACCACAAATAATCCAGCTTAGAGCCAAGGCTGGATATCTAATAGGTCTATTAAAGAATAATTTTACTGTTATCCTGAATAACACGCCTAATGATGTTAAAAAAAAACAATCAAACACCACACAACCACCTCAACACAACAAATTCAGAAATCTCGTAAAGATGATTCACGACATTTATGTATCCAATTTAGTACAAGGACTAAAAGCCATTAAACTAAACGAACCCTCGATTGATTTAACACACTTCCCAACTATCATTAATGTAAAAGAACCACGGTAGACTTTAGGATTTTCTAATAAGGCAAGCAAAGCAAAAACAATTCCGGTTCCTTAAAAATAAGCGTTACCTGCTTCTTTTGGCGAAAAATTTCGGGAGAAAAGCAGGCAAGCATTAATCTTAGTTGGAAAGTCAATCTTAAAGAAAAGGTATCCCTAGTTGTCAGCGACCTCAGCCTGTCTGGGCAAGGCCTGCGGCGGCCGTAGGGAACCTCAATGTCACCGAGTTCCGGCGGGGACGACTGGCGGAGCAGCTGCGGCTGTCACGGCACGCGCACGGTCCGCAGCCGCGCTTCGCTCCACGCACCGTCAGCCCGGATTCCCCAGACGCCGCGGTAGACACTGCCGGCAAAAGCGGCTGCCGCTTCAGGGCAGCTTCCTTTCTCTGGCTGGGCCCTCCAGACATAAGTCGACGGGAGTACTCCTCTCCTCCCTCATCCAAACGTCGCAGGCGCACAGGACAGTGGCCTTCCGCGAGGCGCAACCACACCCCTTCCCGACACCACTATTCCAGTCCGCATGGTAGGGAGAGGTGAGTGGACTCCAGGAATCCTCGGAAGGGCGGGGGAGGAGGAAGGAGCCTCTCTAGCTGCGCCTCCTAACCAACGCTCCTTGTTCTCGATGCTCCCCCACACGGCCGTATTACAGCACGTCACTTCCGGTTCCTTTTAAAGGCCCCACGGTGTGCGGCTCCGCGCGTGCGAGGAAGGTAAAAAAGGGAGTGAGAGGGCGGGACCGAGGAGAAAGAGGGTAGGGGGGGAACTAGCGGTGGAGGGGGCGGGGGAGGCGCAAAGGGCGCGCTCTGGCGTCACGTGACCGGGACGCGCCGTTCTTCCGTCGGCCATTTTAGGTGGTCCGCGGCGGCGCCATTAAAGCGAGGAGGAGGCAAGAGTGGCCGCCGCTGCTGCTTATTCTTTTTTAGTGCAGGCAGAGATAGTGGGAGTGCGCGCCGCACGAGAGTGGGAGGCGAGGGGGGCAGGCCAGGGAGAGGCGCAGGAGCCTTTGCAGCCACGCGCACGCCTTCTCTGTCTTGTGTGCTTCGCGAGGTAGAGCGGGCGCGCGGCAGCGGCGGGGATTACTTTGCTGCTAGTTTCGGTTCGCGGCAGCGGCGGGTGTAGTCTCGGCGGCGGCGGAGGCAGTAGCACTATGTCGGAGGAGCAGTTCGGCGGGGACGGGGCGGCGGCGGCGGCAACGGCGGCGGTAGGCGGCTCAGCCGGGGAGCGGGCGGCGGGGACGGGGCGGCGGGGCCTCGGGCTGTGCCTCGAGAGCTGTGCCTCGAGAGCTGCCGAATTTGGGCGGATTGCCTGGGCTGCGAGTGGAAACTGCGGCTGAGCTCCACCTGCTCGGAGATCTTTCACAGTCATTCGCCCATCTCGCTGTTGGGCTCCAAGTTTCGCCTTTGCTGTTGTGGCGACTTTTCACCCCTTTCCAAACACTTCCATGACTGTGATTTTAAGTTACTTAGACATGATTCTTTGATATCTTTGAGAGATTCAGTTCTTTGTTTTTATGTTGCCCCCTATGTGGGGACTGAACTCTAGGGGCGCGGCGCCACTGAGCTACGTCCCCGGCTATTTTATTTTTTGTTTTCTAATTTTAATTCACGGCTCGCCAAGTTGCCCAGGTTGGCTTCCAATTTGCGATCCTCTTGCCTCACCCTCCCCTGTAGCTGGGATGACAGGCGTCTTACACCGCACCACCGGGATTATGTTGCTTTTTAAACAAGGACATCAGGCATTTCTTAAACCTTACTTGCTTAGGAAGGAATTCCAAATTTATGTCTCCATCATACATGTAAAGTAGCAAAACAAAACAAAAAATCTCTTGCATATGTCTCCCAAATAGCAATACTGGGTAGCAGTGCCTTGCAGGTGTAGTTATTGCTCAGCCGTTAACAATTTAGCAACTTCAGCAAATATTTATATTTTTATTTTGTCCAGACTTAAGAGGCCCGGATATATAGTCAGAACATCTGTACTAGAATCCTGCTTCTTTCTCTTAATAGTCTTGCAACCTGTGGGAATCAGAAGAGTATAGGAAAAATATGCTATACTGTGCTTGGTACCCGGCAATTTTCTCTGCATATCTATCATGTTCCTTTGATGCCCAGCTTTTTTATTTATTCCAAAACAATAAATAGGGTATTTTTTCTAAGGAAAATGTGCAGAAAAGAAGTGGAACAATGTTTCCAGATGGGTACTAGTAGTCATTAAAAGAAAAATCAATGTTTAGTATGTAGGTTGTGGGTGTGGCCTTCTCAACTATTAATTACACCTTCCTATTTGGCAGAGTCATCTTTCAGAAAAGATTAAGGTTCTAGAGTCATTGAGAGTGAAACTGAAGTATCTTTGTGTATAAAGTACACTGTTCTGTGTGCATTACTTTTCAGTTCTTTCTGAAATGAAAAACAGATGATAAATAAGCTTGGTTCTTTTTTTCCTTTTTGGTCTTTTTGTATTATTTTAAATTAAACATATTCAGATAAGATATTGGGTAGTTCATAAATCTTGCAGGGTAGTAGGGAAAATGATTATTGAGGAGTCCCCCAGAAGATGCATGGATTATGTTTAATTTTAGGGGCCTTATCTAATTCAGAGTAGTTGTGTATAAACTTAAAGTTTCTTTAAATGATAGGGATTCCATAGAAAGTAATTGACATTTTAGAGTCTTATTTGTTGCTGAGAGGAGTGTGTCTAATGTGCAATACAGTCACCACTCTAACCTTTTAGTTCCCTGATCCATAAACCAAAGAGTTTGGTATAGTAACAACATAGCTAATGATAATTGTCTAGTATATTCATTTTAAAAACATGTTCAGGGCTGGGGATGTGGCTCAAGTGGTAGCGCGCTCGCCTGGCATGCGTGCGGCCCGGGTTCGATCCTCAGCACCACATACCAACAAAGATGTTGTGTCC